TTTCACCCACTCAGTTATTCATGCCAAAAAATACCCCAGGAGTCAGCCTTAATTTCTTTCCTTTAGCCACCCTCCAATTTATCAGCAAACTTCTTGACTCCACCTCCAGATTTTGGATTCATTCACTTCTCTCCATCCTTGTTCCAGCCACCTCCTCCCTCTCTAAGGTTTCCATCAAGCCACGCACAGAGGCTTGCTCTAATCCTAGCTACCCTGGAGGCTGAGGCAGGAGGATCGCTTGAGCCTAGGAGTTCAAGAACAGCCTGGATGACATAGTGAGACACCATCTCGAAAACAATAATAATAATAAAAATAAAACAAAGGCTCCCACCAAATTTAGAATAAAAACATGAATTCTCTACCTTGCCCCAGCAGGCCCTGCCCACTTCTCAGGTCACATCTTCTCACCCTGTCCCCTTGTGTCACTTCATTTCAGCTTCGTACTTCCCTTAACCCCTCCCCCAACTGCATTCCCACCTCAGGGCCTTTGCACTGCCGTTTTCTCCGCTTGAAATGACAGTCAAGGCCGGGCGCGGTGGCTCAAGCCTGTAATCCCAGCACTTTGGGAGGCTGAGACGGGCGGAGCACAAGGTCAGGAGATCGAGACCATCCTGGCTAACACGGTGAAACCCCATCTCTACTAAAAAATAGAAAAAATTAGCCAGGCGAGGTGGCGGGCGCCTGTAGTCCCAGCTACTCGGGAGGCTGAGGCAGGAGAATGGCGTAAACCCGGCAGGCAGAGCTTGCAGTGAGCTGAGATCCGGCTACTGCACTCCAGCCTGAGCGACAGAGCGAGACTCCGTCTCAAAAAAAAAAAAAAAAAAAAAAAAGTTGGCCAGGGATGGTGGTTCATGCCTGTAAATCCCAGCGCTTTGAGAGGCGGAGGCAAGTGGACCACCTGAGGTCAGGAGTCCAAGACTAGCCTGGCCAACATGGCGAAAACCCATTTCTACTAAAAATACTAAAAATTAGCCAGGCGTGGTGGCGGGCGCCTACAGGCCCCGCCTACTTGGGAGCTACTTGGGAGACTGAGGCAGGAGAATTGCTTGAACCTGGGAGATGGAGGTTGTAGTGAGCCGAGATCGCACCATTGCACTCCAGCCTGGGCAACAGAGTGAGACT